TCCAGGTTCTTTGCCCTTCTGATCAAGACTATCCTCAAAACCACCACCAACTTTTTTATTTTTATTTTTTTAGAAATTTTATTGGGGAACAATGTGTTTTTATAGAACCTATCAGCTCCAAGTCAAGTAGTTGTCTTCAATCTAGTTGTGGAGGGTGCAGCTCCTTGGCCCATGTGGGAGTCAAACCGGCAACCTTGGTTTATGAGCCTGCGCTCTTACCACTTGAGATAACCCGCTGCCCCCCCCCAACTTTTTTTTAAAGATTTTTATTGGGGAATTGGGGAAGGGGAGCAGCTTTGGGGAATTGGGGGAGGGGAACAGACAAGTTGCTGTTTTTTTGTTCTTCAGTCTAGTTGTGGAGGACGTCGCTTCACTGGCCCATGTTGGTATTATGATTGCACTCTTCCCAGGTGAGGCAGTTGCTCACTGGCCATTGGATGGCTGCTCACGGTGGCTCAGGCAGCTCATGAAAGCTCACGCCAGCTGCCAACCAGCCCCACTGCAGCCTACGCCATTGCTGGCAACTCATGTCAGCCCAGCTCCAGGTCGAGCTGTTGTTCACCATCTTAGCTGTAGAGAGTGCAGCGTCACTGGCCCTAATGTGGGATCTGAACTGGGGCCCTGCTGCTCAGAGCTGGTGTCCCAAGCCAACTCTTAACCAACGCGCCACTCGGCCGGCCCCACCACCAACTTTTTTATTTGCATTTTATTATCGGTATATGTTTCCTCTTATGTTTTCCACATCAAAGACCCATCAGTTTGGATTTTTTCTGTCAGCCCTCTTGTGTCCACCAGGAAACTAACTCAGACTTTCCTGCTTGGAAGTATTCTCTGATTCCCTTCTTCTCTAGATTATATCTATTTAAGGTCTAATTTGGATAAGAAAGAGCTTTGTGCTATTAATGGTACTAGTGAATATGTTTTCCTGATTCACCATGACATCTACAATAGTGCCATCAAAAAGAATGACATGGGCAGTGGATAGATGAATGCTGTGGATCCTACTTCCTGTGTCTCACCCAGCCGCTAAAAAGACTGACAGCAGGAGGACCCCTTGTTGGGGTGTTGATGGCCCATCATTTTATGTGACAATAAGCACCTTTCTCCTGCCAGGAAGACTGTGTTCATGTCTCATTACTTGTAGCCAAATGTAATCCCTCAATATGTTTTCAATTATGTTTGATTGTTTTTAATTAAATGTATATGCATTTTTTCTATCAGGAACACTTCTCTAGTTGTTTCATAGAAATATTTTATTAACTGTTTCTAAGCTATTGTATGCTAACTAATATTGTGTTCTTCACATACTGAGAGGATATATGAAAATGTTCCATTATAATTATGGATTTTCAGATAAACGTTGCAGTTTTCTTCATTTAATCATTACACAGTATGAATCAATATTATGTGCATAAAAGTTCGGGTTTTTTTTTTTTTTTTTTTTAGCTGAGCTATCCTGCCATCCTGGCAGCTCAGCAGCAGCTCAGCTCGGGCCGGGACTCGAATTGCTGTTGCTCAGAGCTCACACTCTTGAGCAAGCTCTTAACCAACTGAGCCACTCAGCCGGCCCTCAGGTATTTTTTTTAGGCAACTTTTATTTGTTATTCTTCTATAGTTACAGTTTTTGTCTGAAACTCCTCATTCATTCTGAATACCAAAAACTCAAATTATGGTTTTCATCAGTGTCCTCTTGCCAGTGACCCACAGGATTGCATCTGTAGTAAAAAAGAGGTGTGTAATGAATTCTAATAAGAGTGACCACAAACTAATATGCACTGTGAATATAACAGTAATGGTGCTGTAAAGTACTTCTAGGATTTTGGCTTATGTTCCAGGGTTTGGTTGCTGTTGAAAGCAAAATGTTTTTCTGTATTGGATGCTGTGAGGAGGTAAACTTTATTCTATCATTGGTAATAGTAATCATTGTTTTCTAGAAGGCAAAAACAATGTAGTGGAGCTAAACTTAATTTAAAAGAACTTACAGTCAGTCATTTTAGTAAGAAGAAGGGAATATTAATCATTTTTGTGATTTGAAACTTTATCTTTTATCAATTTTAGAGATATGGTTACAACATACCCTTATAAATGTCTTAGTCCATCATAGTCACTAGTTACCTCTGATGAAGGAGGTATGTGACATTTTTCTCTTCAACAGGAAATAAGTTGACCTTGCAATGAGAGTGAGGCTAGTTCCTGGTCCTCTGAAACAGCTTTTGACTTTCCTCTTTATTATCTAAACACTGATGTATTTCCTATGGTGTATTAGTCACTGTTTCTTTTCATAAAATACCTCAGTTAAAATATACAAATTATGTATATATATATATATATTTTAATATCTTGTATGACTCAACTGAGGCCTATAAATGTAGGTAAATTCTGAGAGAACACAACCTAGCCAGGGAGAAAAATAGGACCACTGGTCCAATCATGTCTTTCTTGCTCAAAGACTATATGTAGTCTTTTTTTAAAATTACAGTTGACATTTGATATTTTATATTAGTTTCAGGTGTACAGCATAGTGGTTAGACATTTATATAATTTACGAAGTGATTCCCTCTGATAAGTCTGATACTCACTATACATAGTTAGTACAATATTATTGACTATATTCCCTGTGCTGTACTTTACATCCCCATGACTACTTTGTAACTTCCAATTTGTACTTCTTAATCCTTTCACTTTTTCACCCAGCCCCCCAACTCCCCTCCCATCTGGCAGCCATCAGTTTGTTCTCTGTATCTATGAGTCTGTTTTGTTCATTTGTTTGGTCTTTTTAGATTCTACATATAAGTGAGATCATATGATATTTGTCTTTCTCTATCTGGCTTATTTGACTTAGCATAATACCCTCTGAGTCCATCCATGTTGTCGCCAATTGTAAGATATCATTCTTTTCTATGGCCGAATAATATTCCATTACATATATGTACCACATCTTTATCCAATCATCTATTGCTGGGCACTTGAGACTATATACTCTTTTTTTTTTCTTTTTAAATTTTTTTTATTGGGGAATTGGGGGGATGGGAACAGCACTGGGGAATTGGGGGAAGGGGAACAGACAAGTTGCTATCCTTTTGTTCTT